GGGGGGGGGTAGAAATTTTGTATGTGATTTGTGAACGGCATTTTCCAGTCTTCGCCCCGGGCATTGATTTTTTGCAGAACTTTTTTCCTCTTATTAACTTTAAAAAAAAAAAAAAAAAAATTAAAAGTAAAAGTTGGCATTTTCTGTCCACTGCAGACGGCTTTAATGTTGGAATGTTGGGTGGGGGGTGGCATAAATCTTGGGCCCGTGTCCAAGACGGCACTAACCCTTGCCACGCCAATGTTACTAATCAATTTCGGCTTATAGATACTCATCGGCTTACTTGCTACTCTGAGAAAATCTGGTCAATGTTGTTATCCCACTGTACACGGTTCTGCATTATTCCATACTGAAGAGTAACTGTCAAGATATAGTCAAACATTGGGACACTAATGGACTCTCATCACTTTGTAGAGTTGAAAAAAATTTAACTTATTATTCCGCAGGTCAAAGTTAAAAAAAAAAAATCATATTGCTTGAACCTGAATGAAGTCATCTTCATGTTACATTGTTATGGTGAAGGCGTGTTATGGTAAAAGCTTTGCCATGGCAACATGTGTGTTGTGAAAGAAGGTGTGTCATAGTAAAAACTGTGTCGTGGCAACATATGTTTTGTGAAAGAAGGTGTGTCACATAGTAAAAACTGTGTCGTGGCAACATATGTGTTGTGAAATAAAGTGTGTCATAGTAAAAACTTTGTGGTGGCAACATATGTGTTGTGAAAGAAGGTGATTCATAATAAAAGCTGTGTCGTGGCAACATATGTGTTGTGAAAGAAGGTGTGTCAAAGTAAAAACTGTGTCGTGGCAACATATGTGTTGTGAAAGAAAGTGTGCCATAGTGAAAACTTTGTTGTGGCAACATATGTATTGTGAAAGAAGGTGTGTCACAGTAAAAACTGTGTCGTGGCAACATATGTGTTTTGAAAGAAGGTGTGTCATATTAAAAACTGTGTCGTGGCAACATATGTGTTGTGAGCGAAAGTGTGTCATAGTAAAAGCTGTGGTTGCATCATCTGTGTTGTGATGAAACTTGCACTAGTGCATGTTCACTGGCCGCGGATTCAATTTCATTGTAGCCATTCATCATTTAAAATTGTCTTAAAGCCAGAACATAAATAAGAATTTGAGAGATTCATATCAATAGAATTTGCGCTCGGACAATATTGAAATTGAAAACTATCAAACTTAGTGTTGGACTTTTTTTTTATTTGCAGATAAACACTTGTTAAAAACGTAACAGATTAGTTTTCAAAGTTCATACTTTATTTCAATAGTGATAACATGGATTGATTGATATGTGTACGTTTAATCGCGTTTCATTTATAGACAATACAGACAATACAGACAATACAGACAATACAGACAATACAGACAATACAGACAATACAGACAATACAGACAATACAGACAATACAGACAATACAGACAATACAGACAATACAGACAATACAGACAATACAGACAATACAGACAATACAGACAATACAGACAATACAGAGGTTACTTTCCAAGTGTATTCATGATTTTCGCAATTTGTCAAACATGTCATATATGTATATATATATATATGGCATCCTTTAGTCTTCGCGAGACGATGGAGTAGCTATGGGGCACTTCATCAAATGGTCGATCGTGGGAAAAGAGGTCTTGGTTGCATTTCTCTAATAAACAATTCTGTTATTTTAATTTATTTTTTTATAATAAGAAAAACAATTCTTTCTTGAATAAAAAACAACAACTTCAAGTTAAGTTGATTTTGTTTCATTCAACATGTTACACTTGCTTATTTCCAAAGCCTCTATTCAAATTGCAACTTTTATTCCTTGCTAACAAATAACAATTTAAACTATTAAAAACGTTTAATTCTAGAAGCTTGTCACGAAATTCAAGAAATAAAAACAGACACAAAAATTCTGCCATCCGAAAGTATTTTAATTTTTTTTATAGTTTTCTTGATATAGCATGAAGATGCTCTAAAAATAGACGATAATATGCCGGGGACCATGCTTGAAACGCAGCCATTTTAAAACATAAGGCAAAAGCCCCAAAAATTTAAGTATAAGATTAAATAATGTGTACCTTAAAATAGGAACATATGTGAAGGGTGCGGATGGGCCGGTAGCCCAGAGGCGGCATATGTTTTGTTTACAAACATAAAAGGGTGGCTTTTCGGGATAACCTTGACATTGGAATGTATCGGCAACAAGGCCATTGATCCTAGCTTCGCCACTGCCTGCAAGGAATACATAGTGTAACTTATTTTTGTACACGCAGGCCTACTAACCACACGCAGGTCTACCTACACGCAGGCCTTCCTACCTATACGCAGGCCTACCTACACGGATGTCTACCCACACGCAGGCCTACCTACACAGATGTTTAACCAAAACGCAGGCCCTCCTACACGCAGGCCATCCTACATACACGCAGCTCTACCTACGCGTAGATCTACCTACACGCAGCTCTACCTACACTTTGATATACCCACACGCAGATCTACCTACACGCAGAACTACCTACAAGTAGATCTACCTACACGCAGGCCTACCTACACCCAGGGGTACCTATACGCAGGCCTACCTACACGCATGCCTACCTATACGCAGGGTGTTGAGATTCCCATTTAGTCGTGTCACGATAATTTAATCTCTAAAGTTAGTTCACATTTCATCAGTGATCACAACACACATTCGGTGTACTTCTGACCGAGAGACTTCTGACCTAGAGACATCTGAACGAGAGACTTATGATCGAGAGACTTATGATCGACATACTTCTGACCGAGAGACATCAGACCTACAGACTTCTGACCTAGAGACATCTGACCGAGAGACTTATTACCGAGAGACTTCTGACCTAGAGACTTCTGACCGAGAGACACCTGACCTAGAGAATTCTGACCGAGAGACTTCTGACAGAAAGAAATCTGACCTACAGACCTCTGACCGAGAGAATTCTGACCGAGAGACTTCTGACCGAGAGACTTCTGACTTATAGACATCTGACCTGAAACTTCTGACCGAGAGACATCTGACATAGAGACTTCTGACCGAGAGACATCTGACCTGAAACTTCTGATCGAGAGACTTCTGACCGAGAAACTTCTGACCTAGAGACATCTGACCTAGAGATTTCTGACCTAGAGACATCTGACCGAGAGACATCTGACCTAGATACATCTGACAGAGAGACTTCTGATCTAGAGACATCTGACCTAGAGACATCTGACCTAGAGACATCTGACCGAGAGACTTCTGACCTAGAGACATCTGACCTACAGACATCTGACCGAGAGACTTCTGACCGAGAGACTTCTAACCTAGAGACATCTGACCTAGAGACATCTGACCGAGAGACTTCCGACCTAGAGACATCTGTTCGAGAGACATCTGACCGAGAGACTTCTGACCGAGAGACTTCTGACCGAGAGACTTCTGACCGAGAGACATCTGACCTAGAGACATCTGACCGAGAGACTTCTGACCGAGAGACTTTTGACCGAGAGACTTTTGACCGAGAGACTTCTGACCGATAGACTTCTGAACTAGAGACTTTTGACCTAGAGACATCTGACCGAGAGACATCTGACCGAGAGACTTCTGACCGAGAGACTTCTGACCAAAAGACTTCTGACCGAGAGACATCCAACCGAGAGACTTCTGATCTAGCGACTTGGCTTTGACTCAATCCACAAACCATTGGTTCTTCTTCTTCTCTATCTTAAGGGCCCACGATCAATTTATTCAAAAAAGTTAACGCATTTCGTGTGTTAACACCTTAAGCGATCCAATAAGAATATCTGTGGTTGGCGTTAGCGGTCTCGATCTCAAGAAACCAACCAGTTTTAGAGAATTAGCGTTGTTAATACTTAACTGCCAATGTTCTTGCCTTAAGACCTTTTCTCTTATCCTTAATAAATAAAAAGCAGGACCATACCCTGTGTATTTATTCATGTTCACTTACATAAGCAGCTGAGAGGATTTCCTTACACAACTTGTAATTTGATTGAAACCCCCCCCCCCCACACACACACACAAAAGTCACCAAACTTCTCTTTGGAGCTTTTTTTTTTTGTTTGTTTGTTGTTTTTTTGTTTTTTTTTGATAGCTGAAAACTACGCTGACACTAATCCGGGGGTAAACAGGTCTGCTTAATTAAATGCATTAAAAAAAATAGAGAGAAACCTAACACCAAATTATTTTTTTCCGCTAAGGTTTTTAAAAAAAAGGGATTTTTGAAAAATGCAATATTTACAGTAAGATTTCTTGTCACATAGTTATTGGAATGTACACGCATATCAACAATTTAAATATATACAAATACTGACCTTGACCTGTAAATTTAAAGGCATTTTTGGAATGTTCACCATAAAATATAAAAATCTCAACATATGCAAAATTGTAATTTTTTTTTTTTGTTTAAATACCGACCTCAACTTTAATTATGAACGACATTTTAGGAAATTTTCCCGAACTATATTGGAATCCTCCACATTAGAACTTGTCAATAAATGAGCAGTAACCTTGAATTTTATTGTGAATGATATTTTC